ATACTTACACATACATATATTCAAAAAAAAAAGGTGTCTATCTCTCGTATTTTCCATTGGGTTCGTGTTAAGTGCGTTTCTTATTGGCGGATTCCATCCGAGAAATGCGAGTAAGTTTATCCATTACGTCGTACGAATAAAAACACCTGCGACCCAAAAGTTCGATCAATGAGAAAGAGAGAGAGAGAGAGAGAGAGAGAGAGTGAGTAAGGGAGAGGATTCCTTTATTTTCCCTTACCTTTCATTATTATCTTCTACATAGAAATTCTCTTTGTACGATTTTAAAGAGAGAAAGAGAGAGAGAGAGAGAGAGAGATCAATTGTGGAAAACTATTTAATTACATCGAATATTTAATCAATTAGTTTTTTTTAATTAAGAGTAATGGTTGTTCTATAATTGTTTCAAATTGATTTCTATTTATTTCAAACGTATCATCAACTTTTTTTTACATTATTATTTTTTTAATTAAATTTATTAAATAAATTTTTTATTAAAATATATTAACATATTAGATAATGAATAAAATTTATTGCTGTTGTTTTATAAATATAAAAAGAATAAATTAAGAAACTCAGGGTAAAGATTCTTTTGCTTATTAATAATAACCAAATTATAGTTATTTATTATTATATTTTATAATATTGATTAAATTGGAAATTGATTTTGGATACTTATTATTTGGGAATTTATATTTTAGATTGGAATATTAAATATAATATTTATTATATAAAAAAATATTATATTTTATAATATTTATTATGTTGGTATTATAATACTAGAGGGATAGTTGTTCTATAATTGTTTAAAATTTATTATATCATCAACTTTTTAAAAATTATTTTCTATTAAATAATGAATATATTAAAATATCATTTTTTTTTTTTATTAAATAACTGTGAGATAAATGTTGCAAAAAAAAATAACTAAGAAACCCAGTGTAAACAATGTTTTGATTATTAATAACAAATAAAACATATATATATAAATTAAAATAGATTGAATTTTCATATTGTTAAAATTAAATTCGATAATAAATATTTGAAATATTATTTTCAAAATATTTAAAAAAAAAAAAGAAAAAAAGCGTTTTTTTTTTTTAAATAAAGATGAATAATAATAGTAGAAGAGTCAGAGTTTAATATTAGATAATAATGTATGAGAGATATTATAGTACGTTAAAGTGTCATACATATCTTGCATAAGGTACGACGACAGAAAAGGTAGAAGGAGAGAACATGCTTACTTGCTAAGGGAAAGGCTTAGGTGCTTTTCACCAAGATTGAAAGCCAAGATTTTCTTGTACAATGGATACGATTTCTCTTTCTCCAAAAGGATACGAAAGTCCAGAGATCATTTTTTAACATCATTTCTTTATATCCTTGAATTATCGAGACAATAGAAATTCTATGTGATAAATTTGTGAATTCGATTATTATTTTTATTTTGACACATTCTTCTCATAAAAAAAAGAAAACAGAAAAGTGGATAAAAGCACAAGTGTTATTTTATTTAAATATTAAATATTTTCCTCCTCTCTCTCTCTCTCTCTCACTCTCTCTCTCTCTATGGGGTTTTAATTATAATAAAAAAAAATAAAAGTGGAACAAAGCAGAAATGTCATTTAAATATTTAATATTTACCATGGTATTTCAATTATAATAAAAAAAAAAAAATAAAATTAATTATAAATACAATTTATTTTAATAATAAATCATTTGTTTTTTTTTTTATTTTACGATGAAATTGGAGTCTAATTGTTTTTTACATTTTTGTTTTGTTAATTTTGATATTTCTTAATAAAATAATTCCTTAAATAAAAAAAAAGGGTAAGATAAGTGGTGAATAATTTGAATATTGAATATTTTAGGACACTGAAATAGCATTTAAAAAAAAATAAATTGTATAATAGTATTTTAATTGCATTATTCTATTAATCAATTAATAATAGCATTATTTCGTTTAGTATGAAACGAAAAAAAAAAAAAAAACTATAAATGCAAAATCGTGTAATTAAGAGACGTTAGTTCTTTTTGAACGAGTGTAGAAGATATATAAGTTGGAATATCGGCACGAATTTCATTTTCTCTGTTAATTTTGCACAAACTCATTACTTTCATTGGCGTACGTTAAAAGTTAGCAAAGTTTATAAGAGCTCTTTCTCTCTCATTCTCTCATTCTCTCTTTTAATAAATCGCGCTCTCGACACTTTCATAGTTTATTTCCAACAGTCTTCCCAGTGCCAATAACAATAACTAGTTGAGTAGTACTATTCCTCTCTTAAACGTAATCAAATCATATTCAAAAATCGTGAGAACTTCAGAGAGAATATTCAGAGTCGCGTCTGTTGGTACGACAATTTTCCAAATAAGATTAAAATTTTAAGTTAGGACCAATCGTGTGTATAAGATGAACATTTTCCAAATTACGCTTAAACGAAATTAAAGAAAGAAAAAAAAAAAGTGGTATAATAAATCTGGCTTAAAAATGAAAAACTTTAATTACAGTTAGACAAATTTTAACTGACCATTTTTACGTTAACCCATTATCTGCCAATGGCCTTTTTTTTTTTGAGACGTAAGGAAAAAAAATATATAAAAAAATATTATACAGTATAAATATGCATAAATATAAAAATAAAATTAAAAAATAAAACATTAATATTACAATAATAAAAATTATAATTATGTATTATAATTACATATTAAATAATAATTAAAAGTATAATTATATATTATATAATATAAAAATAAAAAAATAATAAAAAATTTATATTTATTATATAAATATATTATAACGCCAATATATGTGTTAGTAAGTATTACGAAATCGTACAACTAATTTTACAACTATATTGAATAAATTTAATTTAATTAACATTTTTTTCACAATTGAAATCTCTACGTAGTGATAGAAAAAGCGTTGAAATCATTTGATTAAATTAATTACACATTTTTGGCTTAATTGGAAGAAACGTGAATGCAAAACGTTGTTTACGAATGTTTCTTATTCAACGATAAAAGTTTCACGGTCTTGAGAGAGAGAGAGAGAGAGAGAGAGAGAGAGAGAGAGAGAGAGAGAGGGAGAGAGATAGTGATAGAGTTTATCTCTCTCCGATTGCGTTTAATAGAATTCAATCAATTCTAGGCAAGTTGTTAAGTGTTTAAAAGTTTTCCACTTTGGTTTTGAAAGTTACACTCGTACGGACGATTAACTTCTTAACGAGAACTATTTAAATAGATCGAATTTGTATATATATAGATTTTTAGTTATTTTTCTTGTAACATAAATTACGTATATTTACAAAAAAAAAAAAAAAGAAATTAATTAATATTTTATCATCTAACTCGATATTAGAGTAAAAATTAACGTGAAATTAAACGATATAAAATTCATATGTATCTATGTGTTCTATCATTAACAATATTTATAATATTTATGATTTCAATTACATTGTTTTCTAATTGGAAAATATTTTTGTAGATTTATAATTAAAGATCAACGATTTTTAATCACATTGTATAACTAGTTTTTGTCAAATAATTATAATTAAACAACGTGTTTGAGTGTGGTTAGCAAAATGAATGGAACGATTCGATTGGTCAAATCAAAACCGTGTGCTATTAATTATGGTGAGTTTGTAAATAGTAATGTGATCTCTATGATGACATTGGATTAGATTTCTGAGAGTATTTTTTGTAAAGAATTTAGTGGAATTTGTTAAAAATAAGAAGAGTAAAAAGACAATATATTTATAATTAAATTTCATCAATTATCATTGAATTGTAAAAAAATTGTTTTATACCACGTGTCTGCAAATAATAATTCAAATTATTGACAGATTAGTTTTTTTTATATTTAATTATTATAAAATTTCTAAATTATATTTCTATTTGTTATAATTGTTTTTATATAAAATGTGTCAAAGTAATAACGTTGAATAAAAAAAAAAAAATTATTTAAATTGATAGAAAAAAATATCTTGTCGTATTTAAACTGTCATTTTGATTTAAACACGAGTAAAAATATATAACATTGTAAAATTTTCTAAGTTATTAATCTTGACTTAACAAGAAAAAGCTAAGTTGTTGCTTACTCACTTCAACCAATCGAAACTTTCAAATGGTTTTTATCGTCTTAAGAAGACTTTATATAAACGAGTCTTTTTCCTTTTCTTCTTAAACTTCACTCTTTACGGATTATGATCTTTTTAAAGTACCATTTTACTTGAAAAATAAAAAAAAAATATCGATTACTTTCCATCATATTAAATGATATCTTTAAACGATTCTCGATAATTCTTTGGAATCAATTAAATCGTAATTTTACGTAACTTTTACAAATATTAAGATAAAATAGA